CCCTATCAATATAATATAAGTGCCTCATATCATCTCTATGAAGAAAGGCAGAAGCTTTATCCTGCATTTAAAGAAGAGGAATTAAGGGATTCATAAAGGGATTAAAAAAGAGACTCAGGTGTGGTGCTGTGCCTAAAAGTTCCCCCTTGCCTGAAGTCATATGGCTCTGCATATTATATGCTTGCAGCTCTTGTTACACTGACCACAGGAAGCCTGAACCAGCCAACAAGAAATCTGCTTGTGTACTTGAAAGCCCACCTCTCTTTCAGGCTTAGGTAAGAGTTAGATGCCTATGTGAGACTGGGATTCACAGCCTGAAACCCTTGCCTGGAAATCCTGTCATTAGCAGAGTCCAGGAGCAGCGCAAAGGAACATGGGACACCTGCTGGCAGTGCTGGGCATTTAATATGGAGAAAGTCATCCCCTGTGCAGAAGCCATGAATCAGACAGGAAAAAGAGCCAGATGGCTGTATTGAAATAGGTACACTGCATCATGAAATATGCAGAAGTTGTGCATCTCAACTCAGTACAAACTTGACTCCCCCCTCTTCCTCCCTTTGTAGATGAGTTCTAGGGGTGTTAAAGATGTTTAAATCCAGCATTACTAACTGCAAAGACAAGAATTATGATAAGCTGGAAATCTCAAACTTCACCTCCAACAAATAATTGGATAAAAAAATCTTCCAGAATATCATCTTCCTGGCAACAGCGACAGTAACTATAGGGCTAAAAATAGGATGAAGGACTGAGCGTGTGACATCCTTTCATATATTACTCTTCCAATTTTCACATTAGTTAAGAGGAATCTTCAAATTCTGTTTCTGACTCTCACATTTGAACTTTGAATATTATGGTATATTAGACACTAATATATAACTAACAGAATGGTCTTTGAAACTAAGAGCTATATCTTAGTAGGGCATTTTGTGTCTTTTATTTCTCTGCTTACTTTTTACTAGTTATAATGTGCATGCATCAGCAGTGAGAAGATGTTTCAAATGCAGTCTTCCCATTGACTTCTACTAAGCCGAATTCTGTCCTTGCTTTAATGAGTTAAAACTATTTTAAGTCAAATGGGAGTACTTGGATGTGGGAGTACTTGGATGTGGAAAGGCTTGCAGGTTTAAAATATAGAAAGATTGTGAGACTAAAATTGCAAGAACTGACAAACTAGTAATGATGAATAGGAACAAAAGTGAGTGTGCGTACACGCATGGGTATGTGTTAGGATGACAACATAGATTTCATGACAGGGCTTCACTACTTATTTTGGAAAGGCAACCTGAGAAGGATCTGTTCTTGCTTTGGAAATGTGCAAGAAGCCCAGAGAACTCTTCTTTAAAGCTGTTCAGGGCTCTCTCCAACTCATGCACCTGAACCCTAAATAACTAAAATGTATAGCATCTGTGTTTTGTTGTTGTATACCATGCCATTGGCAAGAGGTTATGATGGTCTGCCAACAGATTCAATTCAGCCAGCAAATGAATAGCCACCAATTCACAGGATCTATCCTGCAAGAGAGGTGAGAGAAACAGAGGGAGAGAGACAAACAGAGAGAGGAGAGGAGAGGAGAGGAGACAGAGTGAAAGAGCAAGACATAGAGAGACAGAGATGGATGTGCCCCCTGATAGGTCCCCAAAACTCATTAAGTGACCTTCCAACTGAAATAATTGTCCACCCCTGTGTTATTAGGTGTCATTATTCAAAGAATGAATGGTGATAAGAACACACATTATAGTAGTAAGCAGCCGTTACTTATAGCAGTGAAGGTACTAAAATGAGTTTGATTTGTAATTGATTTCAAAAAGAAGATTTTGGCACTCAGTGAAAAAGTCCTCTAAAATAATTTCACCTATACATCACTGTTTACCCTACTAGTACATTTAGCCAAGCTTCAGGAAATTTATACCTACTTACTCTAGCCAGAGTGGCCTATTTATCATGTATCTTTCTTTCTTATTACCCAAAAATATTTGTTACCCACTAAGCTTTTTCATTATCATGTGAAATGTGGCTCCCATTTTTTATGCTATAACTTCACCTACTTCAGTGACATTACTCTTTACATACTCTTTAGTTTGAATAAGATAAGAATCCAGCCTTCCATCTTTAGCCCTGGCTCAGTGCATTGGCTATTGTTCTGAGTTCAGTGCCACCAGTTGCAATATGTAAACATTTAAAATAAGAAGTAGGGCATTAGGACCTGGTTGACAGCAGGTGACCCAGAAAATAAATTCTTGATCAGCAACGCT